TATAAATATTTATTAACGCTTCTTCCATGGCAATTCTACTAAAATTTTAGGTGTACAATGTGTGGATTAAATAAATGTTGGATTTTATTTAATGACTTCAATAGGTGTTTGCGTAATTATGTGAATGGTCAATAAAAAGCACAATTGTATTTAAGAACGAGATAACTAAGTAGGTACACTTTATTGATAAGTAGGTAACAAATAACTTTTAGAGATAAATACAAATAACATCTGTGACGACTATATTTCGCTGAGGGTGGTTTCGGACTGACTCTGCCTCGTAGTATATTTTAAAGTCAAGGGTACGAATGCCGTAAATGTTTCACTCGCTTGCCATGTGGTTTATTTCCTATTTTATAAACGTTGACTATTGTTGTTGCACAATATTCCAACACCCTTCCTCAACAATAATAATCCTATTTTTTGATTAAAAAAGATTGCACGCCTTTCGCATCGCTTCCAACTTCAGAGTGCTTAGCGGTTTTGTAAACATGTCGGCTAACATGTATTCTGTAGCACAATATTCAAAACACATTAAATTCTGTTTCTTTAGGTCCTTTAAAAAATGATATTTTGTATCAATGTGTTTCGTTCTGTTGCTGAATTTTGAATTACTTATGTATTTCAAACAACTTTGGTTATCTTCGTACATAATGGTAGCTTGATCCTGATTTTGACCGAAGTCTCCCAATAGTCGGCGGATCCAAACCCCTTCTTGACAATCTTCTGCCAGCGCAATGTATTCAGCTTCCATTGTTGACAGGGCGATACAATTTTGTTTTTTGCATCCCCAACTTATTGGACTTCCATTAAATTTAAACAAATGCCCACTATTTGACTTTCTGTTTTCATTGCTTTGTGCCCAATCTGCGTCACTGTAACCATACAGGTGTTTATTTGGGTCATCCTTATTACCCAGTTTTAAAGTCAGTTCTTTAGTGCCTTTCAGGTACCGAGCGACCCTCTTTGCTTCCACCCAGTCGGGGTCGGTCGGTGATTTATTGTATTGGCTTAAAATACAAACACTTGCCGTAATGTCTGGCCTCGTATTTACCGATATGTAAAGCAATGCTCCAATTAATTGCTGATATTATTCGCCATCCTTCATCGCTTCCTGTTCCTTAATCCTGGATTTATTGTACTGTGGGTCCAATGGATAATTCGAGGTTTTTTCGTCTTGTAACCCGAAACGAACTAATAATTTACATATATAGTGCGTTTGATTAATCCGATAAAAACCATCATCATCCTTGTTCACTTGTATCCCAAGATAGTGCTTTAGCTCCCCTAAATCCATCAGAGCAAAATGATTTTTAAAAAATTCTGCTGTCTGCTTTACTAGCCTTTTATCACTACTTGCAATTAAAAAATCATCTACGTAAACGACAATGTAAATGACTTTCCCTTCCTCGGTTTTAATATACAAGCATGGGTCTGCTTGACTTTGGTTGAATTGGTGGCCTTTTAAAACAATGTTCAATTCATCATTCCAGGCTTTTGCTGCCTGTTTTAACCCGTAAATGCTTTTGTTTAATTTACACACCATTTCTTCTTTGTCAGGCTCTAAATAACCTTCAGGTTGTCGCATAAAAATTGTTTCTTTAAGCACCCCGTTCAAAAAAGCTGTTTTTGCATCATAATGTGCAATAAAGAGTCCCTCTTTACCTGCTATGGTCAGTAGCAGCCGAAATGTCGTGTGCCTTACAACTGGGGCAAATATTTCGTCGTAATCAACTCCATATTTCTGGGAAAACCCTCGTGCCACTAACCTTGCCTTGTACTTATTTATGCTCCCTGCTGCGTCCCGCTTCGTTTTGAACACCCATTTACAACTGATTATGTCCCGACCTTCCGGCTTCTGTACAAGCTCCCAGGTATTATTTGACAATAACGAATTAATTTCTTCGTCCATTGCCGCCCCCCATTCCTTTGAATTTGGTCCAGAAAGTGCCTCCTTCCTGTTCTTTGGATCTTCGTTAAAACTAACCATCGTATACAACTTTTCGTCTCCTGTATACCTGTGGGGTGGCACACCTTTATTCGACCTGTCGGATCTTCTTGGTTCTTCTTTGTCTTCATTCTTGTCTTCTATTTCCTGCAGGACTTCCACAGGTTCTTTAAAATTTTCCTGATTTTCTTGAACTGCATTTTCCAAATTTTGAAGACACGCCGTTGTTTTATTTTCCTTAGATCGTCTCCAATTCAACGTAATTTGAACTTTGTTACTTGGATCTTTACTTTTAATCGTTTTATTCTCTTTAAGTGGCTGTTTTACTTCTTGGTCATTGAGAAAAACGACATCCCGGCTTATCTTTATTTTATTGGTGTTTTTATCCAATAAACGATAACCCTTTGATTCTTCCGAGTATCCCACAAATAAAAATTCCACTGCCTTTTCATCCAATTTTCTTCGCAATTCTTTAGGAACATGAGCGTATGCTCTACAGCCAAAAACTCGCAGGTGGTCAACATTCGGTGCCTTTAAATGCCATAATTCGAACGGTGTTTTTTCTATACATTTTGATGGTAGCCTATTTTGCAAATAATTTGCGGTATTTATCGCTTCACCCCAATATTTCTTGTCCATGTCCGCGTCGTACAACATGCACCTTGCACTTTCCAAGAGTGAGCGATTTTTCCTTTCGGCCACACCGTTTTGCTCAGGTGTATAAGCAACCGTGTACTGAATCTGAATGCCCTCCATTTTCAGGTAATTTTTCAGTTCTTTGTTGACATATTCCTTTCCTCTATCCGACCGAATTATTTTTGGCTTTTTTCCCAAACTGGTTTTCATTTTTTCGACAAATTGCTTAATAAGTTCTGCCACTTCGGATTTTTGAGCCATTAAAAAAACTCTACAGTACCGGCTGTAGTCATCTATTATGGTCAAGGCGTACCGCTTTCCTCCAGGTGTCACCGTTTGCATGGGTCCGCAAACATCCGTATGAACAAGGTCTAAAATTTTGTTTGACCTGTTCTCCGACCTTTTTGGAAATGGTTTTCTTGCCATTTTTCCTTTAATGCAAACTTCACAAGTTTCCCGTATTCCGCAATCCGTAACTTTTATACCGGCCGCTAGTCCTTTGTTTTGTAAGTCTTTAATTGCTGCCACTTCGCGATGCCCGAAACGTCTATGCCACATGTGCTGACACTGTGTACTATGACCGCCCTTTATTGCTATACACGCTTTATTGTCTGCTTGCACCGGTACCGTTTGAAGCTCATAAAGTCCGGCTACCTGTTTGGCCGTTGCCCGCACTTTTTGTCCTTCCACAATATCGCACACGTTGTCCTTAAACAGCACTTTAAAACCTTTAGCTGTTAATTTCCGCACCGAAAGTAAATTAACTTCCAAGTTTGGCACAAACAAAACGTTGTCAATCTTTATATTAATGTCCTTATTGGCCCCATTGACAAACTTTACAACACCCGACCCGGTCCCTTTAATTTCAGCCTTTTGACCATTTGCTAGCCGTACATTTCCGTTCGTGTTTCGATGAAATTCCTTAAAGAAATCCTTGTTATTAACCATATGACTTGTCGCCCCCGAGTCGATTACCCAAACGTCCTTTTGTTGTCTTATTTGCAGGCCAAAACAAACACTCACTTCATGACATAAATCTGTCTCCACATTTGTTTGTGTCATAAAACAGGTCTCATCCACTTGATTTTCAGAATAACCATCTGTAACTGCATTTGCCCTTTCTTTATTGCACTTCCAAGCTTGATATTTTCGACAAAACTTTTTGTAATGACCAGGTTCTTTACAAAAATAGCACTGCTTTTTCTTTACCAAGTTCGCCGAATTTCCTGAATGCCCGGGTTGCCCTTTATGATGATGAGAAGCCGACGCCCTCATTGCCGTGTCACTTTCTTCATCCCTTGTTTTTGATACACCTTTACGTCGACCATATTCGTCTAATAATTTTGCTTTCACTAGTTCCATTGTTAACTCCTTCTCATCCCTGCTTTCCAGTGCAGTAATTAGCGTGCCATAAGAATCCGGCAGACTACTTAATAGCATAGCAACAATTAACTGATTATTTAGCACCTCCCCCATGGCCGATAATTTATCCACCAACTCCATCATTAGGTTTATATGGAGTTCCATATTACCGCCTTCTTCTAGAGTTAATCTGCATATCCGCTTTAACAAGAAAACTTTGGTGGATAGCGATCCCTTCTGGTGGATGTCCCTTAATGAATTCCAAGCGTCGAGAGCATTTTTTGCTTGTCTAATGTGGATTAACTGGCTATCTTCGACAAGGAGTCCGATTGCTGCTCTAGCTTGATCATCCTTTCTAATCCAGGCTTCGTCTGGAACACCTGGCCTTGGCTCAGCGATCACGTCCCATATCCCCTCACTGATCAGCAAAAATTCGACCTTATACTTCCAAATTTGATAATTGGAACTGTTCAATTTCGCGATACCGTACAAAAAACGCGAACCGCCCGACATCTTCGAACCTTGATTGTTCTCTCACTTTTGCTGCAGCACACTATTTGTAAAAACTATATTCCTGTATTGTCTTTAAACTCCGAACTCACTCACATAGATTAACTGGGCCCATAACCTGTTGGATTTTATTTAATGACTTCAATAGGTGTTTGCGTAATTATGTGAATGGTCAATAAAAAGCACAATTGTATTTAAGAACGAGATAACTAAGTAGGTACACTTTATTGATAAGTAGGTAACAAATAACTTTTAGAGATAAATACAAATAACATCTGTGACGACTATATTTCGCTGAGGGTGGTTTCGGACTGACTCTGCCTCGTAGTATATTTTAAAGTCAAGGGTACGAATGCCGTAAATGTTTCACTCGCTTGCCATGTGGTTTATTTCCTATTTTATAAACGTTGACTATTGTTGTTGCACAATATTCCAACAATAAATAAACTTTTTTTACACATGAAATAAAACAAAAAATAAACTAAACCTTTTATTAAGTCTTACACACAGTGTGCTATAATTTGGTGAGAATATTTACAAGTTTTTACAATAAATATAGTGGTTTACCTAATTATTGCACCTTAACGCTACTATGTACAAAAATATTGAAAAAATATCACGAAACCAAATGATGAGAGTGAAAATAAGTAGAAAGGATTGTGAAGATCTAATTTTAATTTTGTTCTCTAGTATCAGGATGTATATCTTCCTCTTGATGTGCTGTATTTCCTAGTAAAGAGGGATGATAGTAATTGAAGTATGGGAAAATTTGCATTGAATTGGAATATTGTTGGCAAAGACTCAACATACTCTCTTGAAGAGTTTTCGGGTATTTTTGTTTGTTGATTTGATCGTACATAAAATAGTCACTCTTTGGTTCCCCGTAGAATGGGCTCTTCTGATACATGGGCGCCTTCTGTTGCAAAAACAAAGGCATATCGTCTTTGACCAGCACCTTCACGGCCACCTTCCTGGCATTCTGACTCAACAAGTTGGACTCTTGCAGCTGCATCTGCTTCCTCTTGGTCTTGTAGCGACGATTTTGATACCATATTTTGACCTGCGTTTCCGTCAGCTTCAGGGCTTGTGCGAGATCGGCTCTTTCGGGACCGCTGAGATACCGTTGCTGGCTGAATCTGCGCTCCAATTCGAACACTTGTGCGTGCGTGAACGCGGCGCGCGATCTTTTCTTGCGGTTCGATTGGCCGGGCTCTCTGGCCGAGTCCTCTGATTGGCTGGGCGACGCATAGCCGGCCTGGATCGCTCGTAAAGTAGACAGAGGTTCTGAAACAAACAATGCACTGAATCAAATTGAGGAGTCGATATATTTAGAACGTTAATTAGCTAATAGTTTCTTGTTTTTGCCTGCTGTAATAATAACAAAATTAAAACTGTTTTTAGTTAATGCATTTGTAATTTTCGAACGGTGGGTCTTTTGTGTTGATAAAAACGGTTATTTTATAAGCAATTACTAAAATTAAGTAACACGTAAGCAAAGTACAAAAAGCTTTTAACTTGAAAGCTGTAATAAAGAATAGGTGGGATAGTACCAGGTTGTGTCAACCTTGTTTTTCTTTTTGTGTCGTGTCACCTTTTGATATTTATATTTTTCCTTGAAATAAATATAAAAAGACACACAAAAAAATTGTACGATGATCTTGGAGTTGTAAGTTTGTACATTGTATAATATATTAATATATTAAATTAAAATCAAAGTCAATCATTAATTTGTATTTTATTATTTTTATAACTGTGTTTATCTACTTCTATTGCATTCGTTGTTTGGTATCAGTGATTGGCCGATTTCAATATTCACTGTGATTTGAATCAATGGGGTTTTAAGATTAAATAAGGCGACTATAATAACTTTTAAAATTGGTTAAAAGTGAGGTTAACCATTTTTCACTACTTATTGCGGTAGATAAAGATAGTATTACACTGAAGATTATGCGCATTATTCACTCAGATGTTTTAAGTCTCTCGTCTGCTGACTCGACTATAATCAAGAATTTTAATAAGGCGCGAACGAGTTGCATACTATACTTTTTTACGACAAATACTTATTATTATCTAAAAATCATTTAAATTAAATATTTGTATAACAATCTCATAACAATTTCTAATTTGGGAATCTATATTACCGGCGCGCCAGCAAAATGTCAAATTGGTATGTGTAAATATTGTTATTGCTTTATTAGTTAAATCTAGTTTACTCCCGGCAAAATTAAAAGGTCAGTACAAACTTGCTTTAAACTTTTTAAATAGGTATAGGCGTTAAGAAACTATTTAATACTTTTTATTTTTGTATTATAGATACCTAATAAAATAAAATCCACATTATTATTTCACAAGAAGGGCACGATTGTATGACATTTGACAGCTGTCCACTAACTTAAAACTAACTTCAGCCCGTGACTAAAGCGCCATAAAGCCACAACTTGTCAATGCGTCATGGAAATATATACGATAATTGACGTTTTAAAGGTGGGAGTAAAAAAAAAGTTAATGCAAAAATGAAAATTTGTATGTTATAACATAAATAAAAAATACTAAAAAATTAATAATCAATTTGGAAATTATGAAAAATGCAATTGCAAAGGAATCATAAGAAAAATTAATAAAAAATTTCTTATAAGTTGACAGTGGTCAAAATGCCATTCAATTGTTAAAATAAAGTGCCTTTCTTATAAAATAATACTAAATGTGAAAATCATTTTATTATCTCAATACGCCAATATTTACAAAATTATATGAACGTTTAAACCTTTTTAGCCGTAGTAGTGCAGTTAACTAGATTTAACTGATAAAGCGTTAAAAATTTTGTGTTCAGTGCCCATAAAACATTTTCTTTTCTTTTATTGTGAAAAACTGCTTCTATATTGATTGTTAGTCTATTTTCAAGGGATAAATTTGGAATTACAAAGAAAAGTTTGAGATTTTAACGCCGGTAGACAAGTTAGAAATTCTAACGATAATTCCCATACTTTTTGTACCTTTAACATTTCCCGAGTAAGAATTTTTAATACTATGTAAGTAATAATATTTTGGAATTATAGTGATAAAAAATGACTTTAATACCGAGGTGCATATTAAAGTTTATCCGAAATAACATTTAATAATACTAATAGTTGATTAATGATTAAATCAAATGTCATTTGATGATCAAATCAAATGTCATTTAAATGTAGGAAGTGTCTACGTATACTGTTTGTTGCGACGGTTATTGTATATTTGCCCGCCGCGGCGATTTTTTAATCTAATTAATAAAATTGAAAAAAATGAAGGGTCCAATCGACCTCCGAGACAGTGGTTTCTTTTAAATATTATTTAGTTGCTGCTGAGGAGCAGTAGACACATCTTAAAATGTATAATGGGTTGCATACATACTTTACTGCCGATTCTTGACTACTTTACTGCCGATTTCGGATAAAATATTTTTTTAACATAATCATATTTTGAAGTTATTTTAATACTTTAAAGTATCAATAATTGTTAAGTTTAATTAAAATAATAACGGGCAATGTTAATGGTGAAAATTACGTCAAAAATGTTTATTGATACATTATATACTATTTTTGACGATTCAATTACAGTTATTTTTTTTTTTCATAAAAAATAACAAATTAAGGAATATCTTTTTTATTTTAACATAAAAATCTTTTATCCTCGAGCGTTCCATAATTCAAACCTTAATTAAATTTTTTCTCGTCCTAGGCTGTAAACACCCGTTTCCATCAATAAAAAATTCGATAACTGTCAAATCTACTTAACCTTACTTTCTAGTTTTAATAATGTTTATTACATATAATAAAACGTTTTACAAAAAATAATGTGCCTTGAAGTTATAATGTTGTATGCCATGCAGCTGAGAAGTGCCTTTTTGTGCTTTACTCAATTGTCAAACTGAGGTCAGCACAAAAAGACTCACTTTTCAGCATTATGACATAATATACTGTTTTTTGCATTAATTTTAAAACGTAAACTAGTAAAACAATTGCTTTTAATTTTAGGATATTTTTAGGTTTATATTTTATGCATTTTTTTGTATTGAGGATAATGCCACACACATTTTTTAATATACCTAAAAACATTTTTAAGGTTAAATTTAATATTAACTTAATAATATTAAAATATATTATAGATATAATAATAAAAGTGTAAATCACCTTCTGAGGTCTGATTTTTTGACATATCCAACGCAGCTTCCTGAATCTCACAATCCTCCTCCTTACTCCTCTTACTTAAAATATCCTTAATGGAAAACGGCGTAACCGTAACCGCGGAACTTTTTTCCACATTCGCACCACCACCACAAGAATGCTCCTCATCCATAATCAACACACTTGTATTCCACTTGTGGGCAACAATAAAGAAGTAAAGTCCCTTTTATTTGGGTGGTCGTCTCAAGGACCTCAGTGCGTCTTGTACAAAATTTCAACTTAAACTGGCGCGTCTCATCAAGCAAATTATTTCTGACAAGACTCATGTGCTTTACCGCGTCGCCGTCTCTTTCCGGCTCAAGCGGCGGTTGATTTTTTCCTTGTTTAACTTTGATTTGATTTGTTAGGGGTGGGACTAAGTGACTCGTTTGCAGGACGATTAGGATTCGCTGTCGTATCGAGTGAATTGGTTTTTCAAATTTATTGCGTGTTTTTTGAAAATGCGCATTGATGTAGGTATCGCAGATAAATCGTTTGTTTTTAGAAGAAATTGATTTTTTGTATATTTAGGTATAGGCTTTTTAATTTATACAGCTCTTGAAAATTGCTATTTAAGAGTACAAAAAAAATTGTTTAATAGTTTTTGAAAAATACGCAAAATAATGTTTATAATTATTTATAAATGCTCAAATGTAATAAATTTTCATCCAAAACAGACTACATCATCCTCTCCTCTTTGATTTTCTAGTTAATTTATTATTAGTGGCTGTAATTGTTTTATCTAACATTTCAAAATAAATTTGACCATTCAAATTTTGGTTAATACAATCTCCCAAAATTCCTGCCCAGACATTAAGTTTTTCAGGTACGATTTTCTCTGATGAGATGAGGGTTTGCATTAATAATAATAATAATAATAATAATAATAATAATAATAATAATAATAATAATAAAGTACGCACAATGTGCCGCACATCGCTGAAAAAAATGTTTTTTTAGTATTTGGATGATTTTTTATTTTATTGGTCATGATTTTACAAAATTCTAAACGTCTGTTTGCGTCATCATCGCCAATGCATTTCTAATGGGTGATATTGTGATGTTTCTAACAGACTCCGAGCAAAGTAACAGGGCTTTCAGATGCCAAACTTGGCGATATTGTGGGATCTACACCAAACTGTTCAAGAACCTCAATATGGGTTGCTTCATTGAGTATCCTAGGTTGTTTTTTTTTCGATTGCAAACAAATCCAGTTTGTTCAAATTTTGCAACCAGCTCTTGAATATATTTATGACGCACATTTGTGCCAGGGTGTAGTTCATTAAATGCCACTACAGTTCGTAGAGAACAACGATTTTGTGTACCATACACGGAGAGAAATGTATAGTAAATTTTAGATAGTTAAAAAAATATATTAAAATTTACTTTAAAAAATGTTTAGTTTAACAATATTAAATATTCGTCAGTAAAATATAAAGATTGTAATACGAAATAGTATTTTTTATTATACAATTTTAGTAAAGATTACAACACCAATATTATTAGATCAAAAATGTATAATACGTATTTTAATTTTGAATATATTCGTATAGTAAATTGATTTTACTATCTACAAATAGTAATATTTACTATATGATATAATCAAATGTATTATACAAAATAATAAAATACACTATTTTGTTTCTTATGGGTTACGTATCTATTATATTTATTTTTAAAATTTACTATCTAATTATAATAAGAATTAAAAACAAAATTGGTTGAGAATAATAACCTTAAGGTTTAATATACATGGATATTTAAAAATTACTAAATATGCATAGTAACTGGCAATATACAAGATAGTTGTCCCAAATAGTAATATATAATATAGTAAAGGGTATTATAATTATGGTAATCAGTAATATACTTTTCTCTCCGTGTACATAAAAATAATTTCAAAACGTTCAGCCGTTGTGTAAACCATTTTGGAAAATAAACAATACTATTTAAAATATTAAAACTAATCAGCATGAATGAAGTATTTTTTGTAAATTCTTATAAATCTGATAAAAAAAAATCCACCAAAAACATGAGAATTTAAATTGTATAATAATACCAATATATTTGGCCACAAAAATTTCAAAATAATAAAGAAACATTTAAAAAAAGAGAGTTATTTTCTGCATTTAATTTAAAAAGCTACAAATTAAAGTGTTTTAATTATTGTTAAACAATTAGTTTATTTATGCTTTTTAAGTTAATTATACTTTTGTTAGAAATATTTTGTGTCCTCCAGTTTTTACTAATGTTTTTACAACAATAAAATGGTTTAATTTAATATTTATAACTAGTAATTGAAATAAATAATTATAAAAATTACTGCGTATTTTTTAAAAACTATTAAAAAGTATTTTTTTAGTACTGTTTATTAGCTTTCCAATGAGGTATCACAAAGAGGGCGTTTGCTACTTAAAAAAATTGGGGTGGCTACTAAGTCATTTTTGTGCTCATACTGATTCCCCCCACATATCCTTCAAATGGTTTTAATAAATTTTTAATATCTTTTCAGACTTGTAGAGCAATGCTCGTTTTAAAATAGACACCCTGTATATATAGTTAAGGGAACCCTTAACTGGAATATATTCTGTTTTTTAAAAACAGCCTATTTTTTTTAATGCCAAAAACACGTCAACTTTTTTTGTTCATGGGAAATTATTATTGTTACATATTATGGTGATACTTTTATAAAAAGAAATCACTCCTTAAGGGTGCAACCAACCATAACTTTTTTTTTTAATGTAAAGGTATATAAAGTGATGTATCATTTGAAAGCTCGTTTTAATAGGAATTTATACAAATATAATTTTACTTTGGTACATTTAAAAAAATAAAAACTTTATTTGTTTATTCATGATAAATATGGATTTACTATAAATGATGTCCAAAATGGTCTCTTGAGAAAATGCTAGACGATTATAAAAATCATTTATTAAATTTTTTAACATTTTTGGTGTCGAATACTTTCTTTAAGGTAGTTGTCGTGGTACAATATTGTCAAAAAATTTTAGATTATACGCACCGTAAAAGTTTACGAGCTGGTAGCTAAGTGATTCATAATTTGTTCGCAAGACTGTACCCTGGAGACGTTATTTTTACGTAATACTTTCAAATATTTTCATAAGTTTTAATCCGGCAACGTCGCTTATGCTCAACCAATAGATATATTGGAGACTGAATCAGACGTTTGAATTTACTGCGGAAATTATATCTATACTCGCGTACAGCCTTGCCAAGTTGTTTTTATCTGACACTAGTGATGTATACTTTTTACAAATTGTTGAACTTTAAACGGTTATTTATAAACAATTGGACGGTCAAAAATTTTTAATTATTTTTTTTAAACTCAGCAAAAATACATTAAAACAATGATAGTTTTTTGAAAGCTTCTGACAGTTACTTTTTTCTGTATAACTAAGAAACTGGTACAGAACTACAGAAAGCCTATACAATCCATGTTAATTATCCAATTTTTAATTGAATTTATCTCGGGTTATAGACGGTCAATCGACTTCAAATTTTAAGGATATATGTATTGTCATGTCCTTAATAAGTATACAAAAATTCAAAATTTTCTGATGGTATGCTTATAGCACGACAACTACCTTCAATATTATTTGGTTTGGCGACATAAACGTTATTTTAAACCCTACAGAAAAAAATCCCACGGGGTGAAGTCTGGAGATCGGACTGACCACTCAACTGCACCTCCACCGATTAGGAAATATTTTATAAAGGTATCGACGAACAGGTAATCCATAGTGCGGTGGAGCTCCATCTTACTAAACGAGAGTCTGGGCCATCTTGTTTTGGAAACTGAACTGGTACAAGAAAAGTTAAGTACCGTTAAGAACCTATTACTTTATTAACAATTATGCAACCACACATTCTCCGTCCAATGTTGCAGTTACACCAATATCCACAATATTGACGATTAACTTCACCACACACAACGAAAAACGTACGTAATATTAATAAAAAAAAAACATTAACGCAATGATTTTTTACATTAATTTTGCTCCGATGCTCAAAATCATTACCACAATGCTTTTAAAGTATTACTCAATGTACAAGGACGTAATATTAATGCTTGGCGGACATTGATTTTATTTAGGAAGATCTCAAATAAAAGTACTGATATTAATGACCATTGACATGGATGTATGTCCTAGTACATTAATTCTATGCCCAGTAAACATCAACCAATTAATAAATTTTTAAACAATTAACAATTAAAGAACAATATCCCAATCACTAATATACATTAATTAATGATCTGTTAGCATTATCATAATGCAAAGAAGCATTAATAGTAGGACTGAATTAAGGGATGGAAAAATATGGAAAAATAACTGGAACTGGAACTTTACATATTTCTAGTCCTTTTTGTAAATATTATGAAACTAAAGATTAATATAAAAAAATAATAAAAACCCTTGGTAATTTAAAATCCTTATATTTATTACAAAAAATTTATGAAACATAAATAAACCTTAACTTTTTAACATTGTCTTACTTACATTCTAAAAGTCACATAATACATGGATTTTGGAAAATGTATTAGAATGCTTCATTTTAAAAAAGTAGGTTTCAATAAATGACCAGACCATGACACATTCTTCTGGGAAATGAAGGTTAAAAATACTTGCACTTTTTTATATTTCATATAATAATAAACCTAAACGCACAACAATCGGGATGGGCGGGCAAGCACGTCGCAACAGGATTAACAGGAATACTAAACTGTTGTTAAATTGTTTTCTTACTTGCATTTTTAGGTGGTGGGAAATAACAGGGCCTAATATTAATGTATTTAGACATTGGCTCAACGTATTTGGCGATAAAGTTATGATTTGTTGTATTATTTAATATGTTAGGGCATTATATTCATGCTAGGGTACATAAGTTGATGTCTATATAGGCATTAAAGTAATAATTTTAGATTATTAAATTATACCATTTAGTGTATTAATCTATTAAGCCTTGACATTAATTTTATCAATGAGCAATGATTAACTAATGTACTCTAGGTTATTGATTTAATGTAAATAATCATCGTATTAATGTAAAATATCATTGTCTTAATGTATTTTGGCTAAAAAATAATAAAATTCTTGCACTAGGATAATGACCAGGCAGACATGGTGACAATCCAATAATACATTAACTCATATTTTTTAAGCCTTATCATAATTACTTGATTGCA